AAATGCTGATGAAAACACAGAGAATGAAATTAAATAAATATTTGTATATATGTTATTTTATTTAGTTTTTAGTTTTAGAGCCATGGAAATGTACAGTATTTTAGTTTCAGTTTTATTTATTTATTTATTTTAGGTTTCTTTTTACATTCATCTTGTTCGTTTTAGATTTAGTTAAACGTAATAACCTTGATCTGGACAAATTCCAAGTCGAATCCCTTAAAAAAACACAAATATTCCTAAAAGAAGTCCCTCTCATCTGGGAGTTTACTTCCTGAACCTTTAAAGGTTTCTTGTTCTTTTGCTGAGTGTGACATTTTAAACTTTAATGTGCCACTTCAAGAAAATAGAATTCAGTTATTTATGTATGATGGGGCTAGTTGTCCTCTGGCATTACTTTCCCCAGTCCTTCTTGTTGCAGGCATGGCTGCTCATGAGCGGCCTCAGAGAATTCCCACGGGCCGCTGGCCATAGGACTGGAACCACATATGAAAGTCACCTCTCAGGTCAAAGTGACATCTCCAATCCTTCAGTTCAGGGCCATGCAGTTCAGCCTGGGTGCATGGTAAGGGAACGTGTGCTTTCCCTTCCAGAATGGCATAGATAAAGTAAGGCAGAATTGTTCTATGATTTTTTGATTTACTTTAAGCCATTTCTTTAATATTTTCCTCACTCCCAAACCATATAGTCAAAATAATAATCAGTGACATTATTAAAAATATGCAAAATCAGCTGCTGGTCACAGACTGGATAATAGAACAGCAACATTAGCAAAGCAATTGGGACACAGCCTTACATATAGATAAATATATTTAGTTGAAAAAAAAAAGTTAAAGAAATCCTTGCAATTCATTACAATAAATAAATATATACAATTTTAATCGTTTATTATTATTATTATTTATGTATTTATTTATTTATTTTTGCATATTTGGCTAATTTGAGTCATGTCAGTTAGTTTACTTAATATGAAGAAAACCCACACTAGGTTTAAAAAAACAAAACAAAACTGAAAAATCCATGTAATTATTTATTGTTCAGCAATCCTGACATTTACCCACATTGCGATAACATTTAAGACAAAAGGTGTCGATTCAGCCATGTGTTTGGGTGTGATTGGTGTGAAAACTTTAATTAGCTTAAAATCACAAAGGAAAATTCTAAAGGTTATCTTGTATTTTGTTTGAAAAAACAAAATAAAACAATATATATATAATAAATATTCTGTTAACATTTGTCTTATGAAGCCCCCAAATCTTAGGAAGGATATACGAAGAATCAGCCAGTTTAATTTAATAAACCCCTGATGTGTTAAATTATGACTGGCAAAATACATAGAACAAGAATAGAGTAAGATAATGAATTACAGCAATAGAAAAGAAAGTAAAGTGGGTGCTATATTTCTGTAATTTGCATGGAGTCATATCTCAGCTTCACTAGTCATAGCTAGTGAACCCAATTAAAAAGACAAAGACTTCCTAACTGCCATAAAGCTGTGAGAATGCATTCGTCTCATTGTCCAGACTATCTCTGTCACCCTTCAGTCTCAGCTGTGAGCTGCCGAACGTCAAACATGTAGAGGGAATGACGATTGATGTGACGTCCGGGTCAATAAGGGTTTTTCCTTGTATGGTCCCAGGTGAAAAAGAAATATATTTAAATTGTGCTTTTTCAGACATACTTACTATATTTAAATTATACTATACTAAGTGCATATTAAATGTATTATTTTGAAACAACTTTAAGAGTATGCTTCTGTTTAGCATATTTCTTAGAAGTATAACTAAGCATATATTTAATACAAAAGTACTTCTAGTATACTTTTTAGAAATATATTAAAATGCAATTCAATATATTTTTATTGCACTTCAAATAAGCATGTTGGGAATACAAATGTATTATAAACAGACTACTTGAATTTCAAGTATATTTTTAATACATTTAATACTACGTCTTTTTCACCTGGGGTAGCACAGATCCGGTCTGTAATACAGCTTTTCGTTAGCATTCCCAGTCCTACATGCAGTCATCTTTGCTCATGGTTCAGTTTCTTGAAGATGAGGATCCACAATAAATGTAAAATCTCACATTAAAGAGATAGTTCACCCAAAAAATGACAATTCCTCATGTCGTTCTAAACCCTGTTAAATTAAGATATTTTTGATCAAATTCAAAAGCTTTCTGACTCTCCATAGTCAGCACATCTACTGAAAAGGTTTTATGGCCCAGAAAGGAAGTATGGACATCGTTAAAATAGTCCATGTGACATCAGTGGTTCAACCTTAATTTTAGGAAGCTACGAGAATACTTTTTGTGCGCAAAGAAAACAAAAATAACAGTCCTTACTATCTTTCTGGGCCATAAAACATTTCAGCTCAGTTGCTGTCTATGCAGGGTCAGAAAGCTCTCGGATTTCATCAAAAATAACTTAATTTGTTTTCCGAAGATCTCACGTGTTTAGAACGACACGAGGGTGAGTAATTAATGACAGAATTTTCATTTTTGGGCGAACTATCCCTTTAAAGTCACATTAGAGAAATTAAGCAGTCTATTGTCAGTAGTGCATCGTCATCCCTTTCAAACCAAAAAACTTTCTGTTGGTCAATGTGGCAAAAAAGTGAAAAAAGACTGTATTTCACCCGAAAAAATTCAGTGAACAATAGTAAATATGGCCAATAGTAACTTCTTTAAATCTCGTTTAAAATGTGCATATTCTGTAGAAATAGACTCTTTAATCATGCAAATTATGCCATTTTCATGCAAGGTTTAAATTTAATGTCATGTGGTGTAACCATTAAATAAAAATAAATAAATTTTTTCTTACACCTTGTTTACATACGAGTGTACACATCTTAATCATTATTTTCAATAATGTTTCTAAATACAGGTGCATCTCAATAAATTAGAATGTCGTGTATTTAATACACGAGTTTCACAATTTGAGTTGAATTACTGAAATAAATGAACTTTTCCACGACATTCTAATTTATTGAGATGCACCTGTACATTTTTCAAGGTAAAAATGTATTTTGACAAATACCATGAATTATTAACTAATGAATATCGTGACATTTTTGGGAAGTCACACCGCATGACATTTACATCATGAACTAACCGTGCTTTGTCATAAAAATCCAACACAATTTCATTAAGAAAACATTTTTTGCAGATCACACAAAACATACAATTTTATTTACTTTTTTTTCACCTCCTGAGTCTTCGGTCGTTCGTTGTTTTGTTACGTCACATCCCTGTAAGGTAAAGCTGTGCAGTCTTTACAGGAAAGAGAAATGATTAGTTCACCTCTCGAGTCTTCGGATCCGAGTCATTCGTTCTTTTCTCATGTGACCGCTTCCCGGATCAGATCTTGAAATGTTGTCTTATATAAAAGTGATTTTTCCCATCATACGGATACATTTTAAAGCATTAACAAACTCTTTATTACCCCACTCGTTATGGAAAAGAACCATCACATAAATTCACAAATTTATAAATTGTAAGAGATAAAAAGCTATAAAGCTCAAATAAAATAATTTGAGACCAGAAAAAATACGTAACTGTAAGAGTAAAGAAACAAACTACTCGCTTGTTTGTAAGGAAGGTTGGGAATTATTAATTAATTTCTGTAATTTCCATTGCTGCTCTCATGTCACGTGACAAAAGAACGAACGACTCGAACCTGAAGACGCGAGAGGTGAACTAATCATTTCTGTTTCCTGTACAGAACCTATTGGATGTTGCGCATGCGCGGTCAACACGAAATGAACGAATCCCTTGCTGAGACAACTCGTCGTTCCCGTGTCATATTAAAGATTCGTTCAAAATGAACGAATCGTCTAAGAACGACACATCACTGCGAACCACAAAATCATGTAGCATGAAAGGAGATTTGTTAAAAGGGTCATATAATGCGATTTCAATTTTTCCTTTCTCTTTGGAGTGTTACAAGCTCTTGGTGCATAAAGAAGATCTATGAAGTTGCAAAGACTAAAGTCTCAAATCCAAAGAGATATCCTTTATAAAAGTTAAGAGTCAGCCACGCCTACCTAAAACGGCTCGTTCTAACACGCCACGACATATCTACGTCACGATGTGGGAAGATTTGCATAACGCCGCCCGCATGTTCATGCAAAGAAAGAAGGCGTAACTTTTATTCTCGCTGTAGTATTGTTGCTGCCGCCGCCATGTCGTGAAGGCGCTGTGTGTTTTGTTGTGAAAGCGAAACTACTTTACTTGGCCTTCCAAAAGAGTTACTCCTAACAGTACATTGACTGAACTGCTAAAAGAGAACCGAAGATGGGATGTGCACGAGCAGAACAGCTGGACTGAGTCTCTTCCTGCTGGGAGATGGCATGATCACAGTATGTCGCATAAACACATTGCATTACACCAAATACACAACATAATGTTCTTTTTAACAACATCATATGACCCCTTTAAATTAAATTATAAAATAAAAAATAATTTATATATATATATATATATGTACATACATATATACATATATATACAAATCGTTTATTAAGAAATTAAGACAAAAAAAGATCTTCACATCGACGCAGATGTCACATTAACAATATGATATCTTTGTAAGAATTAGCTCATAGGAGACAAAAACTGTCCAATCCAAAACCGTACCCCTCCTGAGCAGAGCTAGAAACAGATCTCATAAAAATACTAGACTCAACAGGCGAGATAAAGCTGATTGTGGCTCCATTCCCAGACTCATCTCCACCAATCAGAGGGAAGATGATTGAGCCTGATTAGCCACAATCAAAGCTGGAGCTCAACCCTGACTGTCTGCTGACTTTGCAATCGATGTCTGGCTGACTCGACCAGCAAATTTGGGCCTGAACAGCATTGAGATACTATCGCCCTCCTACTTCCACAAGCTCTAATCCCTCCGTAGAAGAGCATGGCATTTCTGGACTCACCCGGGAAGCCTAAGCATCTCCCTTCAGCTGGATGCATCCCAGCAGAGACTGCAAATGGAAAATAGCCTGACTTTTCTTTAATCAATGGCCTGACTGCAATGATAACAGGATTAGGGGACCCGATCCAACCGAGTGTGAGCTGGACAGGTTTTGAGAGGTGCTACAATGCCTGGAAAGGCCAGAACGTACAAATAATGAGGAGGAGAAAGGTCAGTGGCAAACACAATGGTTCATGTCACTCAACAACCTTCAGTGGACAAACAGCAGGAAGCTGATGTCTTCATAAAAAGATGGATTTCCGTCCATCCTCAAAAACATGATGTTAATCAGGTATGTGGTCAGATCTTCAGAGAGAATTTATTGCTGTTCATCCAATCAAAATGTTGCATCCGACTATATTTTTCTATCAAGTCATTTTCAGTTCTAATTCTGCAGTTATGGTTGCATTTACAGTCTTTCCTGTTGATTTGCCACTTCTGTAAATGCTTGTCAATGCAGGAGTAAAGGCTGATTCGTAAGGAGGAACTGAACCGCGAAGTGAAGAATAATGTAAGTGTCTTAATCGATTCTAGAGTCTACTTCCTCCCAAAAATATTTTTCTCTGTAATTTTTGTTGACATTTTTTTTTTAAAGGAGAAAAAAAATATCAAGCGTCAACTAAAAAGGACGGAAAAAAGCTTGCTAGCTAACAATCAGCATCCAGTGCCATCCTTACCTCAGCCACCAGCTTCCCTAACCCATAAATAACAGACAAAGAAATTAGGACAACATTTTTTAACCGAAAAAAAAAGGATATTTATTGTAAATGCTTGGGAAAGAGCGTCCAGCTACATTGTTCACAATTTGTCTTTTTGTGTTTCATCAGAAGAAAGTCAGATGTGTTTGGGACGACACTAGGGTAAGTAAATGATGACAATTTCTGATTTCATATTTTTGGGGGAACTATTCCTTTCAGAGTTTGTCAGAAGATGAGAAGTAGTTGTTATAGATATACTGAGCGGCTACATAAACAAGAGCTACGGTATCTGTTTATTTGAATATATGCAGTGTACTGTATTATTGAAATATTAGAGAGCAGAAACCTCTAGAGTCTAGACTAATGAAAACAGGCTTTCCATGTAATAAAATGATCCGCTTCTTAGCTACATTTATTTTAAACATATTAGAAGTATGAGACAAAATAAAGCCGATGAGCCCTGAGCACCTGGATATGAAACCCTCCATCTCCTGTGGCACAGAAATCAAAAAGATAAAGTAAAAATTCCACCACTCCATTCCATCCATCCATCCATATATTTATTCTATGTCTGTCTGTCTCTCTTAACATTGTATAGATCTTGTATACAGTTTTGAACGTACAAAAGCCAAACAGCCTTGAAGGCATTTAAGTATTTATATCCTTCAACTTTTAGACGAGGCTTGTCAAACAAACAACAGTTTGTCTTGATGAACCTTACCTTTCTAGTGTACACTGTGTTTATCATCTGAAAGAAGGTCACTGAACAATGCATTTGCCTTGACTTGGTCGATAGATTCATTTATTATTCAAGAGTAACTTTTAGTGTAGATCAACTATAGTGGGCAATAACTGTTGATGTTAGGTCTTTGATATTGGCTAATGTGAGCTGACAATCTATGTGACACAGGAAAAACAATGGCCTATTAGAGCTCAAAATTCAACAATTCCAAGCAAGTTAAAGCAAAGTAACCTTTGGTAACCTATATATATATATATATATATATACACCATGTATACAAATTTACAAATTACATAGCATTTTTTCCTGCAATAAGGCTTTAGATTTGAAAAGAAAGATGAGAGCATCTTTCAGAAAACTGAGGGATCACTTCACTCACAGAAAATTACTCCTGTGCTGTAATAAAGGCAACTAGAATTGACTTCAATGACATTTTGAACAGCATCACACCGGCTGCCCAGCGTGGCTCTGCATTGAGCTGACACTGAATGACACTGTTCTGTTTGCTGGAGAAACATGTGCACTTGACAAAAGTCATTCCTGACTGAGCAGCCTCTGGGAGACAAATAATAATTCTGAGCAAAACACAAAAACAGCTGTACTGGACACGGACCAGCATTTCAAAGCAAATCCGTTATCTGTCCAATGAAATGTATTTTGACTGTGAAATGCCACAATTTTGAAAAGCACTTAACCAAGTGAGCCGTTATAAATCAGTGATTCACACGAGACAGATGTTGTTTGTATCCATTATTGTTCAAAGTGAGATTGTTTTTTGTCAAAGAACACATTTTGCTAAAATTTCTGCAGTATTTTTGGTTTGTACATAATATTTTCGTCTCAATTTTCTTGCTATCTCAACTTACCAAACTTTTTCTTGTGATCTTGACTTGACATTTCTCAGATCAACTGCGAACAATATGTGGCATGTAGAAAAGTTAGGTTGCTTCCAGAACAAGAGAAAACAACATTTGTGGTGTTGAGATTACCAGAAAATAAAGTTTAAAACAAACAAAAAAAAGTTTTTGTAAGTTCTGTTAGTTCGTTCATTTCCAAGTTCTGAAAGCCATCACGGGTGTTAAAACAAGCCTCAGTGAAGTATTTTAGTTTTTGAAACCTTCCACTCACACTTCACTTCACCGTACTTGGAGGGCTCAGTCTCTGGCAATAACAAACTGTCACCTGTCCTATCAAGACCTTCTGTGGACTTCTCCAGCAAATGAAAATGTAACTCAACAGGCAGCTCAATTTCGTTCCCAGTCTCCTGTGGATGGCATGCACTCCAGTGCTTTTCACAGTTCACTGAATGGAGAGCAAAAGTGGCAGTCACCTGAGATCCGGAACGGGTAGCGTATTGTCAGAAATGCCTGCTTTCACCTTCTAATGGCCCCTTGGACAGTTACGTTTCTGTGAGAGAAGACCTTCCATTCAATTGCACCACAAAAAGTGGTGCTGTCAAGCAATCCCAGCAGAATAGAAAATCGCCACATTTATTTCATATTGTAATGTTTTTAACAAGCGTATCCCTAACAAAGGCCCTCAGGACCCCATGTTTGGTGTAGAAAATAGGAACAATTTGGTACAATCCAGGCATCTAGTTTGTTTAATATCAGCAATTCTGTAACAAACGTCCTCATTCAAAGTATTAAACTTGTACATTTAATTTCCGTCACCTTAAGTAATGATAATGTCATATTAATTAATTACCAATCTGATAAATTCAGTGATTCATCAGACTGTTTTGACCGTTTCAGCTAAAAATGGAAAACTTTTTATGCATTTTGGCCGTTCATTTACATTACAACAAACTTTGAAAAACTCTGTGTAAACTACGAAATTGTGAAAATTTGTTGTCATGCACATGCGTATTATGTGTTAAGTCTATAGGAATGCATATGTGCTTGGGCGCATAGTGTTTCTTTAGAAAGAGACATCGCCAACTACTGGCCTGGCATGCATAATACAGTGTTTTTAGTAGTTTTTGCGTATCCATGTGAATGGGGATGTTGTTTTGACAACATTGTCATCTGTACACAAAACTTTTCGAAAACATAAAGGAAAAACATTTCTGTTTTTTAGTGCGACCGTCATGTAAACATGCCCTGAGTTCTTCTTTTTTTGTGTATATCTTATACTAAATTTGTTTCCCTAAGTCCCATATCAATGAAACTGCATTCATAATGGGGTTCAGCTAGACTAGGCGCAGCCGAACCTGATAACTGCGAGCCTTGTTCAATTAAATCACCACTTCAATAGAACTTTTCAACAGCATGAAGTTCATTTAAAGGTCTTACAACCCATTATGCCAAAGGTGAAAGAAGTTCCAGAAACCATGAAGAGGAAGGTGATTGAAATACATCAGTCTGGGAAGAGTTACAAAGCTATTTCAAAGACACTTGGACAAAGAACCATAGTGAGAGCCATTATCTCCAAATGGAAATGTCCGACCTTCTAAAAGTTCTCCAAGTGCACATTGACGATTGATTCAGGGAGTCACAAAAGAAACAAGGACAGCATGGAAGGAAGTGCAGGCCTCTTTTGGATCAATTAAGGTCACTATTCATGACTCCACTCCATCCAAAATACACTGGCCAAAAATCGCATCTGTGGAAAACAGGTGATGTGAAACCCACTGCTAACCCAGAAGAACATGAAGGATCAGATTTACTAAACAAGGCAAATTAGTGCAAGAGTGTGAATCAAAAAAAAAAAAGCGCCAATGAGAGTGGAAAGTTTTGGTGATCAGGTGATTTACTGACAATGCAAGAAATAAAGAAGACATGCAACATCTCATTTCCATAATGACCAATGCAATCCTCCTAGATTGCACCACTCTGTGGTGCCTCCTCCTGGCAGCAACAATTGCAGCCATGTCAAGTGCAAAATGGGTGAAGACATGCTTTTTTTGGGGTGGTAAATAATGACACAAATACCATTATACTGACTACCGCAAACCTTAGTAAATCATGTTGCATGATTCATTGAAATACTCTTCTCCCATAAATTTTGCGTCTGAAAGGAAATATGCAATATGCATTAAAGCCAGCCACAAAAAATAACTGTGTCCACACCTTTTCATCACAAATTTTTTATTGTGCGTCTTTAGTAAATCCTGACAGTACTTTTTTTAATGGCAAAAGAGGATTTGCGCTGGCACAAGCTGTTAGTAAATCTGGCCCCAAGTCTTGTCTGAATTTTGCCAAAACACACTTTGATCATCCTCAAACATTTAGAGAAAATGTTTTGTGGACTGACGAGTTGAGAATGGAACTGTTTGGAAGACAGGGGTCCCTTTAAATCCAGCGTAAACCAAACAACGAATTCCACAAAAAGAATTATCATACGTATGACCAAGCATGGTGGAGGCAGTGTGCTGGTGTGGGGAGGCTATGCTGCTTCAGGGCCTAGGCAACTTGCAGTACTTGAAAGGCAACATGAATTCTGCTCTCCAGAAAATCCTGAAGGAGAATGTCCGGTCTTCAGTTTGCAAGTTGAAGCTCAAGCACGACTGGATTATGCAGCAAGACAATAATCTCAATTGGCAGGACCTTAAACGGGCAGTAAACGGACAGAACTAATGCAGCTCTGCAAAGACAATGGGTCAAAATTCTACCACAGTGCATGAGAGACTGATCTCTTGCAGGTTGCCTTTGTTTTATGTTGTATTTAGTTTGAAGATCTGAAACTATACTGTATGAAATATACACACAAAAAAAGAAGAATTAGGATGGGGGCATATATGTTTTCACAGCACACAGAACAACTTTGCCAGCCATAGAAAAAACACCCAGAAATAACTGTGACACAATTTTTGCATGGGAAGCACCGCTCACATTTTCTTCAGAAAATCTAGCTTAAATGTTGCGGTTTCAGCACAAGGATTTTATGTAGCAGTGCACCGCCTTGTTTCTACATTCAGCATTTCTCTCTTCAGTTATCCAGAGAGTCACTAACCAGACAAATTTGACCAAAACTGCTTAGCATGCAAATATTCAGTATCTCATTAATAGCGGACTGTGATGAGTGGGGCGGGGCCGAGAGCCGTGGGAACGGAGCGAGGCCGGTGGAGTTAATGATAATGAGCGACACCTGCGCCACTCACAGGTCTTGAGTTCTAAGGAGGAGCTCCGGAAGGATAAAAGGAGGAGCGACGACAGTGAAGGATGAGAGAGGACCAGGCCTGGACTATTTATGTTGTTTTGGTTCTGTTTGTGCACGCTAGTCGTCCGTGAGGGGCTGTCGCGCTATTTTCAGTTTTGTGTTTATTTTGTTATTAAATTATGTTTAAATGTTCGCCGGTTCCCTTCTCCTCCTTCCCCAATGGAAGACGAGGTGGGACGGAGGGCTCGCTGCCATGCTCCTGGGTCAAGGAGGGGTGGCTGTCGTCTGAGAGGGAGCGGGAGAGTCAGCACCAAGAGGC